GAGATGCTGGGGAATCTTCTTTAAAACTGAGTATGATGTATGATATAGCATATACTCCAGGCGTTGTTCTTCAAAGAAAAGGTCTTGGTTGAATACTGGGGGCTGGGGTTGGCGTTATTGCATTCCAGCACAAATGTCGGAACAACATCTTCAACACCAGAAGACAACACCACTTGGTGCTTCCGGAGGGACAGGGAATGGATGGATCCAGCTGGGGCAAACTGCAGGCAGCTGGGGGAGGTTGATATGCTTGGAATAGTCTTGTTTATAATGCTTGGTTGCTGCTTGAATGGAGCCAGGGAGGAGGATTTTCCCCTTCTGAAGGGGATGTCACCATGGTTCGGAAGTCAGAAGGAGCTTGTCAGGTAGGAATGTACGTAGGAATAAGTAGGAAATCTAGGGGATAATTTTCATAAGCGAAGTGTAATTTCGTGCGTTTGAAAAAGTTCAATTCGAAAATTAATTACTACTACTACAACTACTACTACTACTACTACTACTACTACTACTACTACTACTACTACTACTACTACTACTACTACTACTACTACTACTACTAAATACTATAAGTACTACTAATTGCTGGTACTAGTACTAGTACTAGTACTGAAYACTATAAGTATTGCTGGTACTACTAGTACTATTCATATAGCTTGCTATTGCTGCTGCTAGCTATTCCTATTGCTATTGGGGTAGCATTAATGATACTGATAGAGATAGTGATACTACTGATAGTAATAACTGATAGTGATACAACTATGTGAAAAATTGAAATGGTTTGAGAAAAAGAAGTAGTAGTATTTTAGCAGTGTTACACTTGGGGTTGGGGTTTCTGTATTTCACATAGTAGTATATTGATACGGATAGAGATAGTGATACTGATAGTGATAGAGGAGATACTGATAGTGATACTGACAGCTTGTCATGAGTCTTGATCCCACCAATGAGCTCCATGATCTTGAGCTTAGTTGGATTGATAAGAGACACTTCAAGATCTGAATCAAGTGGCTGCCATATCTGTCAAACTACTTCTGTTTGGCAGAGATGGACAAGGATTCACATGGCAATATCCTCTTTCCCAGATGGCATCCCTCTGAGATTGGGTTTGGGAAGAATACAAACAAGCTCAAGGACGAGAATGGAGAGATGTTTGAGGACAGTATCGTGTTCTTCACTAATGGGAAGGATATGGATACCAGCATGTACGAGCCAAAGATTCTTCTTGGAAAAACCAAAGACAAGAAAGGAAATGATGTCCCTGTGAAACTCCTCAGGGTTGTCTTCCACGAGGCAAGAAAGTCTGGTGCAGCTAAAAGGATCGAGATTGAAGAATCTCAAAATAATACTGATCTATGTAAGTTAGGAGAGAAGAAGAATGAAGCAGCAGCAGCAGCAAGTCCCCAAGCCTCTCTTTGGATGGATGTGGATTCTGATGAGGAGGAGGAGGATGACAACAACACGTCGTCAACGCCTTTCCAAACGCCTTTCCTAACGCCTTTCCTAACGCCTTTCCAAACGCCTTTCCAAACATTCCAAACACCTGTTGATCCATTGACTGTTCCTCTCCCTGGGTCTCCATCTGCTGGTCACATTTTCCCTTGTGATCAGTTTGTTACTCCTAGGTCTGGGAAGAAAGCAAAACCAACTACTAATGCTATCATTGCTTTGCCTTCCCCTTCCTTGTCTCCTCACAACTACTAGAATCTAAGATAACGTGTACGGCAGGACCTACGAGTTGTGTACGGCAGGACCTATGAGTTTACAAATTTGCCCTAAATCAAGCCTACATTTTGCATCCAATTTTTGTACCCCCAGAGAGACACCAAGAAGCTTGCAAGGTGGAGGAATCATCCTATTAGTAGTGTCAATACTAGAAATGGTTCCATTGCAGAGTTTTTCCTATTACAAGCAAAGTATACTCTTTTGTTGAGGCTGGTACGTACTTTCACTGTTTTTTCTTAGAAAGGGAGCAATGCGGGACTTACTAATTTTATATTTATATATATTGCTGTCTGTAGGATATCAGACTGTGCATATGACTCATATCTACAACACATACATATCATACATATCTATGACTCATACACACCATAYATATATGATTCACTCAATCCCACTGAATTCATACGATCGATACTTGYGTGAGTGACTCAACTCATTCAATTCACACATCACTCAATCCTCACAGTGCTCAATTCTAGATTTCATAGTTTGTCAATCCTCGATAAGAGCATCGACTCACTTTTCTTCTAGCACACACTTTACATCACTATTAGGACAGACACTCCCACAGTCACTCCCACATATATGCATGGATATATTCAATTTAGCAATGCTGCAGGACTGCCTTGCAATATATTTAATTTTCCAACTGTGGGACTGCCTATGATGAATATATTCATATATATCTGTGTATTTTCAATATTCAATTATTCTTATTCATTAACATATATATATATATATATATATATACATTGTTTAATTTCTTGCTAGTCCCAAAATATTTCTATTAGTGGTCCTTAATACTTGAGATAAGCACTGATTTGATATTCTCAGTAGTAAGTACCAGGAATAGAAATATTTTCGGACATGCTTTTTTTCGTGGAGGAGGGGGAGAGGAGAAATAAAGAAGGGAAAATAAAAAAAATTGACACCCGGGGAATTGCTAAGTACTTGACTTTATTGCGCTTGACATTAGGAGTCCTCTTGGCTACCGGTATGTTGAGCGTATGTTTACGTAGTAGCAAAAGCGACGATCACTTGTTAAAATATCGTAGTACGTACTGTATCACTGGCATCATCATCTCACCTCGAAGAAACGCAAGGTTTACGTACTGATGTTATTATACTCGATAACATACATATGTAGTTGCAACAATATCATTGGAAAAGATGACCGTAGAACCATCGTCGACCACTGATCAATCAGAGCGGAAAAAGCTTGTGAAAGCTCGGTGGGGAATTCTACGTAACGCTCTGATGCGTGGCGCTCAAGAAGAACAGCAGCAGCAGAAGCATTCGATCCATTGCTTTCCCGGTTTTAATTTGCTGAAAGGTATACCAGTAAATCTCACTTCATCTTTGTCGGGATCTCAATCCGAAAGTTGTCAAATCGAAAAATGGTTAACCGAATATCGATGGTGCGATGCGGAAAATCACACTCTGGAACAAAATATTGATAACATGGAAATAGCTATTCTGGCATTGGCTGCTTGTTTTCCAAAAGGAAAGTGCATGCGGATCATACGCACTATTGACACCACCAGTGGGGATGGAGATTCTGAAATAGAAAACGACTTTTCTTCCAATTGGCTTGAATCCATCAAACAGCGATGTCAACCTTCTGTACGTGTGTGGAAGGCAAGCGAAGAAGAGGAGGTGTTGGAACAAAAATGTGCGGCGAAAAATGTAGTGACCACTCTACTTGTTCAAGAAACATCGACATCAACAAAATATCAAACGCTTCGATACAATTTAGACAATACAAAGTGTAACACCGTCTCAACAATCGTCACTGTCGAGTCACTGTGCGATATACTTTGGACCAGAGAGCCACGAGAAACCCGACTTTCTCTCGATGACCTGATCAGCCACCGTAAAAACAAAGGAGTGGACAACACTGGAAACATTTGTATATGGGATTCAGAAAGAACATTAGCATATCTGCTGTATCATTATTTCGATGATTTTTTCTCTTTTACCAAAGTTAACAGTGATGATGACAGCATGAGCATTGTTTGTAGTTGCCACAACGACAGTGGTGATCCCGACTCCTGTATAGTTTTCCAGCAGCAAGAGAAAGATCACTCGAAAGTTCGCGTTTTGGAATTGGGAACTGGAATGGCCGGCCTATCTGCAGTATCACTTGGATTACGTCTAGCAATGCGTCAACGGAAGAATGGTGACGAAACAAATGAAAGCAATGACAACGATGATGAGAGCGAGGGCAAGAACAAGAAGGATATTCACATCACGCTTACTGATGGCAATTCCAATGGGGTGAAGAATAATGCCATCAACCAATATCTGACTGAATTGAATTCAAGGACGATGTTGAAAGAAAGAGGAATACATTCAAATTATTTAGACTTGAGTGTGAATTGCGCAACTCTCTTGTGGACAACTGATATCAGTGGTGAAAAGAACACAAAAAAAGAATACTCTTACCTGGACCAAGATGTGATATTAGTCTCCGATTGTGTGCATTTCCAAAACTTTCACGCTGCTCTCGCTATTACCACCTTACGATGTCTACGTGTCGGAGGTAGTGCCATTTTTTGTCAACCTCGTCGAGGACCATCACTTAATAACTTTTTCAACCTCTTGTCAACTGCAACATCGGAAACAGGTTTCACACGATCAACTTCTTTGCTATCTATTTCSAGATTTTCGCACCCAATTATAGATCAAAAGCACGACGAATCTCTTGTGCAACACAGTGACATTTACGACGAAAATCTGCATCGACCAGAGATATTGGCTATCACGAAGCTCCGTGAAATCACTGAAAATGACCGAATGCGCTTTATTTCTTTTCAACAGCGATACAACCCTGTGAAATCTAAAATCACTGAGGAATAGGTTTAAGGGCTGGAAAATKTTCCTCGATGACTATTTCCTCTGGACGACGGTTGCTGTACTATTATTTTACAGTCAAACTCTGCCAAAAGCTACATCGTAGACTTTAAGGGTTAAAACCTCTAGGTTTTTCAAATTCACTCAAATTCAAAAGTTTTTATTGAGTAAACACTACGTACCCCATATTGTTTTTCGCGCTCGCATGAACCAYCATTCTTTCCTATTTTCAACAGATCCCTTTGTTGGTATATTCGTTCTCTTATTTCTACCTACCTAATTGGGGTAGTCCTTTGCTCCCTGCTTGATGATGTTCATCGTGACATCCATTCCTTCCTCCGTCCAACGGGCGCGGTTATTTTCGATGCTTGACGCAAAAATACCTCCTCTAGCATCACCGAAGGCGCCCGTATCGTCGAGTTTTCGAGCCAATGGCAAAAGATAGAAATCTAAGAATCCGATTTGGTTGTTGAACCAACCGTTCGAGGGATCGTCACCCCTGTTTTCGACGAAGCCCTTGCGCAGTTCTAGGTATAAACAATCGCTCCACTTTGCCATTTGGTCAAATCCTTGAAGGTTATGGGCGACGTCTGCAGATTTTATGATGGTTTCCATAATGACTGATTCACGTAAGTCATCGATCTTTTCCGGAGGTGGAAGATCAATTTGTGGCACGTCAAACAGACCATCACCAGACGCAGAGACACGTTTTTTCCCTGGATAAGTCTCAATAGATTCTCCAGTCAAGTCCATAGTTCTACGAAAGCCAAGTCGAGAACTTTTCCTTGGACTTGATGGTGTACTAGTTCCAGCTTGGGAAAGACGGCGATGGAACTTCAAAGCTTTTCCCGATAGCTCTTTGTCGCTTTTCTTTTGAATCCTGCGCGCCTCCCTCCCAAGGTTATTATCTTCGTCCTCGTATGAATTATATGACGATGATACACTGGATTCATCCTCGTTAGCAGATTTCTCAACGTGCATATCTTTAAGTATTTGAGTGGGATCTTCCCTGTGACCTTGAGCTTTCTTCATAACTTTTCGTTCCACAGTTTCGTAGGGATCACCAAAGGCTGCCTTCCATTTTGATTTTCCCAACTGTGTACGTTCCGGTGATGCAATGTCGGTGGTCAGCACTAAATTAACACAGGCTGCCCGAAATCTTCGATAATCCTCCCTCTGAGGAAATATGACGCTGCGCAATTTGTCGTATTCTTTCTTCAGAATTTCGGAAAATCCGATGAAGAGGGATTCGTTTTCAGCAATAGATTGATCGTTGTATTTCATTGCAAGTTCTTCATCTTCCAAGGCCAGCTGGCGGTTTGGAATTCCTCGATGATCAACGTCATGAATCAGTGCTGAAAAAATCAGTGCCAGTTGCATGAGGGGATCATCACGAAAACCAAATGTATTGGAAGGCTTTTCATCCGGATGCTTGTGGACAATCATATCCACCAGTTTATTGGTTGAAATAGTCACGTGATAGCAATGCTTGAAGTTGTGGTAGGGAACATCATTGTATCCAAGAAGAATCGATTTGACATAGTCCCTGAGCTGTACGACGACTTCTTCAGAAACCTGCTCAGGCCATAAAGTATCGTTGACCAACATGGAACGACACATAGTGGTCGTACTAAGGTCGGTGAACATTCCCCGAGGCATGATCCATGCGCAAATGCGAATCAAAAGAAGAGCCGTGATACGAGTTGCGGTCTCATCTACATCATCTGATGGGGCAGTTGCCGGGTCGTTGCCTAATCCAGTATTTCCCCAAGCCTCACTTGTAATCCCCAAAGCAATCCCGATGTATTTAGCACCAAACGGCATCATAACAACTCGCTTGCTATGTTGTTCAAGCGACCCCCTGTATCTCTTTGCACTTGAGAAACACTCTAGCGTTTGTAAGTTCAATCGTTTTTTATGGCGCAGTGAGGTGTTACTTCCTGTGCATACCGTACTCCAGTCCGTTATGAACGCCAAAACCGTCCTCGATTGTGATACGAAATTACAACCAAGTTTTGCGTGCGAGCGATCATCACTTTCTCGAAGAAACATCTGTTTTTGGTCAGTCATGCTAACTATCTAACAGAAATTCGAAATTCGTCAACTTGGGTCATTGGGTCATTCCCGTTACTATTCTAAAAACTCTAGATTTGATAGACTGACAGACCAAAAATTTAGATTAGGTCTTTTGCGGTTCGCTTCAAGTGGAAGTCGAACAGTCATAATCCAGTGGCATGAAATGTATTTTGTGGAAGAAACTGTTATCTTTCAAAGAAACGGCAACTATTGGCTCTGTATATTTTCTGGAAGAAACAGTTTATAGAGCCTAAAAACAGCCATTCATTTTGTACTATGAGAGCGTTAAAAAAAACTTCATACTACCGGATTTTTAGGTTTTCTACCCCCTCAGACTCCCCTTTCCATCAACAATTTCAGTCAAGAAAAAACTATTCTAGTATTTTTTTTCTTCTCAACTTCCATGATTAGATCTCATGTGAATCTAGATTTAGCATATTTAGAACCTGTCAAAGCACCTGGTCCTAAATACTCTACGTACCTTTAGAGCGGAACCCATGAAAAAAAATCGAGTCCATTGTAAGATTCAACAGAAAGCCTGACAGAATCTAATACAGCCCTCTTTTTAGTCTTAATACATCAGAAGACTAGTGAGTGGTTCATTTTGGAAGCTGTTGTCAAAATATGTATGCACCACTTCTCTTCTCACATATCACCAGGCCAAGTACTAAACTAATGAATACCCCTGGTAGTACTATCCCACCAGAGTCATACTACTAGCTGGGGTAGCTAGAGAAATAACTTGTTGGAAGTCATGATACTAGGGTTGTTGGTGGTGTTAAACAAATTTTTGAAGCAAGWACAGCAGTATCTAGGCTATAGCTAGAAACAACTTCCTCTGCTTATTGACCTCAATCTTGTTGCTTCTGCTCCAGGGAAAAGTGGTCCAAGGAGGTTTGGAGATTTGCTTTAGTTACAAGATTTGCAAGTTGTTTGTGGAAAATTGGTAGTTGGACTCTAGTAGTTGTTATACGTCACAAAAGTCACCAGGAATAACTGTATTGGTTTGATCAACTTGGGCAGTGGAATTAGATTCAGCCAGGGGACAGAACTTGGGACCTCACAACCTTCTTCTTTTTTGGGGCTGGTATTTTATTTGTTATCATCTGGCACAGCTCATATTTGTAGTAAAAGCATCAAGGAAATGGCTGTAGTAGAGAACATCTTGTTCTCAACTTCAATTGTGCTGGCTTAGCCCCTCTTCTAAGAGAGGACCTTTGGCTAGAGGRACAGCATGAAAAATGATGCAGTTTGGAGCCTTGAGTCCGGGTAGGTGTTGTGGCAGCATTCTAAAATGGAAGGAAGACACTAGGTATTGTCCATACCGCAATCACAAGTCATAATGTTGCACTATAGAGCCTAGAAGCATTTTACAATACTTCCTACAGCTACTGCAACAACAAGTAATCCAGAAGTGTTTGAATAGGACAACTGAGCAAACTTGGGGATTGACTTTCAAATCTCAAAGTTCTTCCTCTTCTGTCGTGGCCCAGGCTGTTGTTATAGAGAAGAGGTTAGAACCAGTAATTAACGCTTACACTTGTGCTCAGCGATCGAACGTAATGCCACTGACGAGATGGGATAAACAAGCAGTCGCCTGGAAAGAGCAACACTTCTTTGTAGTTACAATCTTTGGCTAGGGGGTGCTTTTCGAAATCTTCTTGTTCACAATCCAATTCACTCATATTCCCTTGACTTCCATAGCTCTTATCCTGTCTAACATAGAGTCGATCGGAATTTTCTTTTTCGTACAATCGGACATACTTCGCACCTACGAGCTGAATAAGAAGATTGTCGTAACTATCAAAATGCAACGGAGTGCGTGTCCCACCAGTTCCCATCCAAATATTGATATTTGTTGGTTGAACTCCATAGGGATTCATATCGATGTCTTTACAAAGATCTGATACCTGATCTAGAAAAGGATGCTGCGCAAGATAGGCAATTTGACTTTTGCCATCCGTCGCATCTTCGAAGCTCCAGAAATCTCTCGAGGCACTCGAAGACATATAATTTGCAACAAAACTTCGAAACGTAACAACAGCTTCTTTCATTCGAGTCGTCATTGATCCGATTTCGATAGGAACTAAACGATGACCAAATTCCCATGCAAGTCGATCGAGGTATCTCCACTTCTCCACAGCTGCCCATTCAGATGCTAGATGTCTGATGACGCAAGTCTGTGACTGATTATAAGATGCCATAATGCTAGCCTTGTTTGATTTTTCGTCACTGATCAACTCCTTCACTGGGATCTGAATTGGCTTCGGAAGCGTCCTACTAGCGACTAACTCTTTTAATTTAGGACACCGGTAGTCTGGTACTTTACAATCGACTGCTATGGGGCACGGAGCAGCCGCCATTTGAGATGCATGAAGTTCGACATACCCGAAATAGTCTTCTATAAGACTTCGGTCTTGGCCCAATATGATTGCTTTATCCAAATATTTAATTGAAAGTAAAAAGCTTCCTTCGTGAGCGTAGCCAATCGAAGCTGTGATTGCCGAACACCAATATGAGGCTCTATACATTGGCGTCGTCCACGAGCCATTGGACTCAAGTAGACTGTAAAGGTAAAGTTCCAACCCTGATCCGACTAAGCGACAGGCTGAAAAATCTCTTTCTCTTATTGCAGCCTTGATCTTCTTTAAAAGATTTTCAATTTTTTGTCCGTCGCCCTTAAATCCCTCTGCATTTTGAAAATCACTGATAAGAGAAGAGGCCTGTTTTACTACGTAGTTCGAGGCTGGTGCCAAGTATTCGACTGGGATTGCGGCGTGATTTGACTTGTTAGATATTGTATCAAGTTGTTTAAGAACATCGAGTAGACTTTGCGCTCCACGTGGCTCTTCATTGTAATCATTACCGTCTTCATTTTCTGCGCTATCAGTGTTCTCTGCGACACCATTAGCTTGTTCGTCACCATCGTCATTGTTTCCAAATAAATCATCGTCGTCTATGTCTTCGCTGTCATCTCCAAAAAGATCATCGTTAAGAGAGTTCGCGTCATCGTCTTCTTCATTTTTTCTCTGACCTATTTCATCCTTCTCACTTATGCATTTAGAACACGTGCATATGAATCCATAGTTTGCAAGGGCTGTTTGCCGTTCTTCGTATGGATCTTCAGAATCGATATAACTAATTGTTAATTCTTCTCCTTCTTTGATGTCCTTGAGTGCTACGATGTAGGCAACTAGAGGATGATCTCTTCCCCAGCCTCTTGTTTTGTAAACTAGAATGACATTCGGATTACAAGAGTGATTCATCTTTGTAGCGATTGAATAATGTGAAATTCCATCTAGTGGCCGAATAATCTCATCCCATTCGTCAAAAACACAGCCATTTGTGAAATCTTGGGTCAAACTCGCCAAAAAGGTTGCGATGTCATCAGGTGAATATTTCGATCCCAAACCTTCTCTCGGCCCTTTCTCGAGTTCACGATCATTACCACAGCCGTCGACGTCGCAAGGGCATGTATTGTCGTCGCATTTGTCATTGTTGTCCTCGATCATGCCTGCTCCCTCTAAACATTGAATCAACTCTGTGTGAAACTCCTGTCTCAAATTGGTATCCTGCATTAGGTTGCGTTGCAGCGCGTGCTTCCTCCGTATTCCTAAACAGTTTTGCTCCAACGAGCCAATCAATCTTGCCATTCCAATCGGTGTGAGCCAGGGTGAATCTTGACTCTGTTCTAGTCGATTCTTCAATGTCCTGGATAGATACGAGTGGGAATCTTCACAAAGTTGTTTCAAAATGTCTTCTAAGGATCCTCCTTCGACGTTACTCTTGTTTGCTTTCTTTTCCTCGGGATCTTCTTTCTCTTTTTTTAGTATTGCCTCTTCGTTGGCTTTCACGTCCCACCAAGTGTTCATTTGGAAGTCGGTGTATGGATGGGTGTTCAGGTCGTCGTCTTCGTGGTATGGTAAGTTGTGTTTTATGATTCGGACAAGCCAAGTAGCAACCAACAAGAATATTTCGTTCGTATTTCTGGCATAGACTTTAAATTCTAGAAGAGGATCGATGAAGCTGTCTACATTGCTTGAAGGTGATGTATTGGAGAGGTCGTCCTGCTCTTTCTCGTCCGCGACGGCAGTGAGTGTGTTGGCGCCTAGCTCTTTTTGCTGATATTGTCTCGAAGTACATTCGTCTGGGTCAGGAATCATCCCAGTGCACAATTCTCTGTGTCCGCCCCATTTCCAGTCATCCTGCTGGCACTCTAAACTACAGTATATGTGTCCACAATTGTGTCTACAGCAATATAGTGCGTGCGGACCGTTTAAAGCATAATTATTGACATCGTCATCGTCTTTTTCGTTTACGCATCTTTGATTATTATTACTTGTCGCCATTTCTTCCAAAAACGATGGATCTGAGATCACTTTGAGATTTTGCCCTGGGCTGCCACAAAACGCCATGCAATAGCTGCATACCAAGGCACCCTCGTGCATATTCCCCGTTGATTGCATTGCGATGACAGGCCTTTCAACAAATATCAAGCGATCTTTTCGCAAATCGGTGGACGCGATCAAGCACCGACCCCGCTCCTCGTCAGGATGCCGGTCGTAACGGAAGAGGGGCGAATGATGTTGCGACATGGCAATCAAGAACTCAAATATGTAATATGTTTTGCTGATCTGAAGTTTGATTCTGTCGTCGACGATCTCCTTGTACTCCTACTTGTACGGTACAGTATGGTACCTGGTACCGTACCTGGTACTAAGTTTTGACAACTGAGAGACAGATTTTTAGAAACTGTTGTTTTCAGAAATTCAGAAATTGCTTCGTAGTTCATGGATTCATGGATTCCCAGATTTGATGGATGCGACGCCTCACTGGGGATAGGGTTAACATCAGATTACGGACGAAGGTTTGACTAGTTTCCATTCGTGGATACACRCTAGGGTTACGAGTACGAACGACGGAGTTCAAAAGCCATAAAAATCCGAAATAACTGCACCGTAGTGCGTCACTCGGCGGAACGAGCCATCAACGAGAGGAACGATTGAAGCTTCAAAACTCCACAGAATCAAGAACTCTGTCATCGTCGAACGATTATTTTTTGATTTGTGTGGTTACAGGTAGTCGTGCGAGTACGAGTACCGTACGGTACGCGTGGTGCCTTCCATACATCGAAATATTACCGCACGAAGAACAAGCTTGAAGACAAGAAATATTCATCACGCAAAGCCCAGTTCTGCCTCCGAATCATACACTCATACCACTCCCATAATTTGACGACAGCAACTATGAGATTCAATCAAAGTGTCGTATCTGTGCTTGGCCTATTTTTGGCTTCTGCAGGATGCGCAAATGCGTTTACCCCTCTAAACCTGGTCTCCCATGCAGGTCGATTTGCCACAAGTTTGGAGGCTTCTAAAATGGAGAAGCTTCCAGAGAGTTGCGTCCGTGTCACACTAGAAGTTCCAGGTCCAGCAACGAAGGCAGCCTATGAAAAGGTCTGCACAGAGCTTTCGAAGACAGTCRCACTTCCTGGATTTCGCAAGGGTAGCAAAATTCCTCCGCAGGTGTTGGAACAAGCAATGTCTGCGAAGGGAGGACGCAACGCGTTGAAGACACAAGCAATCAATACCCTTCTCTCAGAGCTAATCGAATCCGCCCTGAAAGAGGAACACGGACTTGAACCAATTGGACAGCCTTCGCTGGAAACCGCTGCCGAAGAATTGGCTAGCGGCTTCGTTCCAGGTGAAGACTTCGAGATGGCAGTTAAATGCGACGTCTGGCCCGACATTCAATGGAAGAAAGTAGAAGGCGCAGTGGATCCCGAAAAACCCTACATGGGGTTGAAGGGAACTTACACACGCAAGCCATTTGACAAATCCAAAATGGACAAAGCGCTAACAGATTTAAAGGAGCGATATGCTACTTTGGATAAAATTGAGGACGGCGAATACGAATTGCAGATGGGAGATGCATGCACTGTCAACATGGAAGGATACATGGCAAATGCCGAGGGAGGAAAGGGTGAAAAACTACCTGATGCGGCCAGTGGTGACAACGTCGAAGTAATTCTTGGAGAAGGTCGATACATGACTGGTCTTGTTGAAGGATTGCTTGGTGCAAAGGTTTCTCAGACAAGAGAGATTACCGTTACCTTCCCAGATGTAAGTCTCGAATACATTAGAGCTGCTTTGCGGAAAGATAGAAGTCTTTCTTGTCCGTGCAATACTTACTTTCTGAACCTTCCATTTTTTCGTAACCAATGCTTCAAATTTATTTTCCCACAAACATTTAAACGTCTCGTGAATCACAGAAACTTCGTGACAAGACTTTGGCGGGAAAGAAAGCTGTTTTTGATGTTACCGTCTTGGAAGCTCAAAAACGAAACATTCCCGAAATTACTGACGAATTTGCCGAGAAAGTACGAGCAGGATTGACCGCCGAAAGTTTGATTGAGGAGCTCCAAACGGCTGTTGATCAAGAAGACGCTAAGGAATTCACCCCTGCTCGTAACTCTGCCCTTGCTAAGGCCTTGTCACAAGTAATGGACGTCGAAGTTCCAGACACGCTTGTAACGAACCAAGCGCGTGATAAATTTGCCCTGATGATGTCTGACATGCGAAACAATGGTGTTGCTGACGAAGAAATCAAAAAGCAAATCAGCCCGGAAAACTTTTTGAAGTACAAAAAGATCGTAAAGGATGATATCGTTGCAGACTTCAAGGTTTCTATGGCCACCGATGAGATTGCAAGAATCGAGGGTATCGAAATCGAAGATTACATGGTCGAAGAACAAATGGAATCGATCAAACAAGAAATGCAAGAGTCGGATGACGATTTTGACGAAGCAGGAATTCGCGCTCGAGTCGAAGCCACTTTACAGCGACAAAGTGTAATGGACTTTTTGGCAGAAAACGCTGATCTCGATGTCAAATTTGTTGAAGGCGAGGGCGACTTTGATAGTTCTCTAATGGAGAAACTTGCTGAAGAATCGCTCGCTAGAGAACAGGAAATGGAATCGCAGGCCCCGAAGGAAACAGGTGAGTCTCCTGCCACTCCCCCAGATGTAGAAGCAGTGGCAGAAGAAGAGGTGCCGGCGGCTGAAGAAGTTGTAGAAGAGGCTCCAGTAGATGAAGCTGAGACTGAAACAGTTGAGGAAGAATCTGAWCCTGCTTCAGATTCCGATTCAGTTGCAGAAGAGAGAGATGTTTCATCTATGTCATTGCAGGATCAGGCATTCTATGCTCTTATGGATTCCGGTGCTCTAAACAGAGATGACACAAAGTGAACTCAATCCTTTGCCGTAGGATGGAACTAGAGTTGATTTGCTCGGAATGATGTTTGTGACCCGCTGACGGACAATTTTTTCTACTTCTCTTGCTTAGTCGATGATAAATAAATGAACAATAAAATCGAACACCATCGCTTTGAATCCAGGTATCCCCAACAAATAGAGGAGAAACAATAGAAAATAGTTGCTCTGTCTCTCGTCGAACAAGATTATATAGTTTTCGTTCCGTCTCTGCCTAGTAAGCTTTAAACAAGATCCTTTGCGTACTAGTAGTAAGTTCCGGCTCAAAAATCATCGACTTGTGATGTAGTTCAGAAGTAGACGTCCTCTCCCCTCCGTTCTTTAGTTAAGGGTATACATCTGCCTTGGTTCGCTAGACACATCGAGGTGGATTGTCCGAGAGCGCATTTGAGTTGATCGGCTTTGAAAAACAGAGAAAAGTGAAGCGCCAAATGGAATCTTTTCGGGTCAAAATCTGAAATATACAGACATTGCCTGAGAACTTCCTTCAAAAATTAACAATTTCTAAGAATTCAACATTACATGTCCTCTACTATACAGAAAGCGATTCTAGAGACGAAACGCCTAGTTCTATCTCCTTCAAAACTTCATCTCGATATCCTTTGTCTTCCGCCATATCCCTAAGCACATCCCATGCTTTTTGGAAATCTACATCGTCGTCCCTTCGTTGCAACAATATAGCTGCCTCGATTGAAGCAATGGGAGGGGAACGGTTTGAATAGGCATCGTACTGTGACGTGTCGTACGGTTCTCCCTCTACTAATTCAGGAAGATTTTCTCTATGAAACAACTCCATGAAAGATTTGTCAATTGCATCCTTTAACTCGAAGACCCATTTGCCATAAAACGGAATTCCAAACCTAAATCCTAAGGCTTTACCGTCACCGCAAGCCAATAGTTTGAGGAAATCCTTCTGGGGCTTATACGCTTTGAGAGACGTATAACCTGTGCCTGTATTCCATTCACCTACATGTTCTCTGCCATTTTTAGAATTCCCTACTTTGTTGTCCAAGAACAGAGTTAAATTTTCGATGAGAATGGGACCGGCCCGCACAGCATACACCCCTGCTTTTGGAAGGGATCGTGAAGATCCCGGAATTTTCATGGAACAACAATCGCCTGCAGCAAATACAAAGGGGTGGCTCACGCTTTGGAAACATTCATTCACTTGAATCCAGCCATTTTCCGATATGGCCAACCCACGCTGCCGAAGAGTAGAAACTATCTCGAAATGACAGTCAGCCCCAGTCGCCCAGAGGCAGTAAGTGAATTCGAATCGTTCACCGGAGTCCAATAGCAATGAATGTTCATCGACTTGAACAACCTTTGCGTTGTTGACGACGTCGATTCCCCTTTCCTTCAACTGTTCCATGAGTGCTTCCCTATTGAGCAATGTTTCGTCCGGAAAAAGTGTGTCGAAAGAATTTAGGACCGTAACAGCGATGTTCGTTTCTCCCAAAATAGCTTTCCACCGTTCCGACACAGCCATCGACAATTCAATACCAGCAGCTCCACCCCCTACGACCACAATATTCGAAATACATTGGTGTCCGTCTTCGTTGCTTTCATTTTTCTTTTCTTTCAGAAAGTTGGTTGCTTCCTCGACCCGCCGGACTAGTTCAGTAATGGGTCTCGTTGGAATGGTGTACTCTTTGGCACCCGTGATGTCGATCAAACCACGACTAGTCGAGCCGATATCGACCGATATAGCATCAAAAGTGATTTTCTTGTTTCCGTTTGTGATAACTAGTTTTTCATCCATGTCGATGTCCACAACACGATCTCGAACAAAGTCGATTTTTGACCATTCCGAGAGCGGTATCAAGTCGATGAGTGTCTCGTCGGGAGAATATATTCCAGCTACGGCACTCGGAACCATGCCTGAATAGCAGGGACGATTGGTAACGTCGATTAGCACRATATCAATATCCTTAGGTCTGCTGGCATGGTTAAGACCCTTGATGACTTGTAGATGTGAGTGGCCACCGCCGACCAATACAAGTCGTTTCCTTTTCGTTGCTTCTGATTCCCCTGCATTGGCAGCCAGAACTGTGCCAGGCGTTGCGCCCATGTTCTTGCGAAAAAAATTATTTGTATTCGAGCAACCAAGAATAGAAKGATGCGACTTTATTGTAGTGGGTGTTAAGGAAGACACTCGCGAAATATATGGTAACAAAACGAAAAATCGAATGAGGGCCGAACGAGAACAACGGAACCGCCGATCTCTTATTTTAAAATGATTAGGGATGGACATCCAGAGTCGACTTCTTCCTTCCAAAGTGTTTGAAACGTATGTGTAGATGAAACTGTGACTCGGGATGTGAATGTGAATGTGAATGTAGATATTTATGAAGGTGGCTGAGGAGAAAGATAGAACCAGTGCTACAGAAAGAAGACAAAGCGAACGGTGAAAACTGGGAGGAGTATTCTTCAAATCTCTCGGAATTTGCGAGAAAGAGTAGTGAGAATGATCACTCGTAGTGGGAATGGGCAAATTGATGTTGTCACTCGATAGGGAACTATTACTGGCAATCCTCCAGTTGCTCGCTTTTCACGTGTAATCACGCGCGCTGGATTACAAAAAGAATACATGTAATCGCGCACTAACTAACACTAGTTATTTATTACTTAAATCTCGCACCTCGATGGATTACAAACCTGCAAAATGGATTTCATGTAATCCAAAATTGTATTCAGGGCTCTACAGAGCAAGAGCCTTATTTTTTCCACWGTAGCGCTAGTTGTTTGGCTGAATCGGATTACAACTCCGAAAACAAAATTTTCACCATGGATTACTTTTTTTGAGGTCGATCCAATTTTTTGTTTCCAACTCAGCTTAGTTTGCTGTATCACTCAACTTTGCACTCTCCTAATTTTCTATCAGCATCCTATGTATCATATCAGCAGCTCCTCTGCTGCCGTATTGTATCAGCGGCTGGCTCCTCCGTATCGCATCATCGAGCGTCCTCCGTATCTTATCAGCGGCTGGCTCAGCGGCTCCTCTGCTGCCGTATCGTATCAGCGGCTAGCTCCTCGTCTGTATCGTATCAGCAGCTGGCTCCTTGTATGTATTGTATCAGCGGCTGGCTCCTCGTCTGTATCGTATCAGCAGCTGGCTCCTTGTCCGTATTGTATCAGCGGCTGGCTCCTCCGTATCGTATCAGCTCTGTATCAGCAGCTCCGTATCGTATCGTATCAGCGTCCTCCGTATCATCGAGCATCCTCCATATCATCGAGCGTCCTCTGTATCATTGAGCGTCCTCCATATTGTGTCAGCAACTCGTATCAGCAACCCATATCAGCAACTCGTCGTATCAGCATCCTCCGTATCAGCAATTGCAGTGATTACACGTGAAAAGCAAGCAACTAGAGGATTACGTAAATAATCARCCAGCTACTCTTCACAGCAGTAATCAAACTTCAGCCTCGGTCTTGAGAAAAGCTCTCGTCCTCGGCCTCAGTTGGATTACTTGTGTAGCGCTCGACCGCACATAATTTTTTTTTTCCCTTAAGGAGCATTTTCCAGAGTACGGATCAGATTACATACGGATTACAYGTAATCCGCGAGTAGCTCGCCAATTATATCACAAAACCTACTGTACTAAATTATAATTACTGGAAATCTACTGATCRGGATTAAAAACATCTTATTTTACTGGAAATCTACCAATACACTTTCTTCATATATTTCAACCTTTTTTTAAACCTCTGACCAAGAATGACATGTGCTTTTCATCATTAACTTACCATTTTCCGTTGATGAACTGGTAGACTTTTAAAAACTGCACGCTAGCCTCCCTCACCTCTCTATTTCAGAACACCTTTTATTTCCAAAGAGGACCTTCCAACCAGACATACAATATTATGAGTTCCTTCACATCCATCCATTGTGTCAAAGTTTTTATCTGTTGCACCGGTTTTTGATACGTCGCCGGTTGACCAGTGGTTGACTTTAAAACATTTCTCATAATCTACTGAACAGCAATGAACATTCTAATCATTTCTCAAAATCTACCAAACAGCAATGAATATTCAAATCATTTCTCAAAATCTACTGAACAGCAAGGAGCATTGAAAAATTTCTCAAAACCTACCAAGCAATTTATGCATGTGCCTTGTTGTGTCATTGTAATTCTTCCCAATCCCCGTTGTTGCTTTTACCATCTTACCATCTCACCATATATCTCAAAGCAGGGTGGTTCAAACAATTCTTGTTATCATGGCTTCTAATGGTGTCGTTCCGAAATGGCATCCTATGTCCCTGGAGGATTACCGGACGCATGCCCCCTCCTTTAAATCAGCGTACGTTTGGGAAGGCAAATCTCATGACCTTTGGAAAGACATTCAGTCGTATGCTTTCAATACATGGGGCATGTYGCTTCAGATAGGCAAGCCCAATTACAGCAATAAAACTTGTGTTTTTCTCTGTGAATGTTGCAATACTCCTGTCACCGTTGTTGTCAACAAGTCAACCAATTGTTGGGTAATTAAGGAACCCAAAATTCCACAGGAAGARCACCTTAAGCGAAGAACATAMTACAAGATCGCAACAAAATCAACRGATCTCATAGTTCATTATCCACCATTCCAAAAAAAATTCAATTTGTATAAAAAACACCCAAATATTGTGAACCAAAAGTGCCTGCCACAATTAAAAAAAAACACAGCATCCTGGAGTGGCTYGGATCAAATGAAATTATTTTGACATTTAAGGATAGGAACTCCACATTGGTAACAATTAGCAAGGCAAAGAATGCTATTTTCACTTATCTAAAAACCCAATATTCTTTGGAAACATATGATGTTATGGCACGATGGCTTCAATGCTTGGTGGAACATAATCTGAACATGACCATTGCACTACAAGCGGATGAGAACAATGTATTTTTCCAATGCTTTGTTGCAACACCTGCTGCTTTGGAATTTGTTTTGGAAGCTTGACAATGGCCGTGTTTGTTGGTGATTGTTACCATTACAAATATGAAGACTACAATGGTGTTTGTTTCAATCTTGTTACCAAAACCCAGTATGGTGTATTGATCCCTCTTGCMTGGGCCATAATTCCGCATGAAAACACAAACCACTGTCATGGGTAATTCAGATGTGTTGGAAACATGGAATACCAGTCRATCGACATGCTTTCTTCACTGACCAGGGGCCCTGAACAGCTACATTTTGTTCCTTTTTTAAAAAATACAACATTTCATTTGACATGGCTTTATGCTTGCAGCATTTGATTCGCTCAGTCAGACATCGGTTCAAAGAATTGTTCCCCTGCTGCCTATCTTTTGACATGAAGACAAGGGATCCCTGTAAAGCAGAGATTGCACAAATAGCTGACAAAACGCTTTGGCATCATATGRCACAAGCTTCCGACTCAATTACCACGGGCTCTTTTTTCAGAACATAATTGAGCTTTTCTAYGCTATGGTTGAATTATAAYGAGAACAATACAACACATGCAGCTTAGTGACAGAGTGTGTGTATCTCCTTGAATACCTGTCGTCGTATAAACCCAAAATGCTGGGGGGTATCACCAATAAAAAAGGACACAGCAAATTTCAATTGGACACTCCAACTCTGTCTATTCCAGGGAAGGTTTGACCACCATATGCCTTCAGGTAAGTTACATGCCTCTTTGAGGCTGTGCAATGTGGCTTGTAAGCCTGYGTGTAGATTGTTGACGTTGTCAATGAACTTGTCAGCCTTGTCATGTTTGCCTGATGGATGACAATAGATAGTGTCCCAGGCRTTGGGTCTAGATGACTGTGTTAAGTTGTTGAAAATGCCAAGAGTCATATTGAGGGGTGTTAGGGAAGGAAGTCCACTGTTGGCGATGGCAATCCTGTCCATGTAGAGGATAATCTGGACCAGGACTTCATTCATGTCTGGGTTGCACTTTCTTTTCCATGTCTCTATCCACCAAGTTCTGTGGTGAAGTTCATGGATAATGTCATCATTTTCAAGCACGGAATTCTGTTCAAAGGAAGTTGGGTCATTCTGGTTAGTAGGGAAGGAAAGGTTAYCCTCCATGACCAAGGTGACATTGGTAAGTAGGGAGTGCAAATCTTTGCAAAACAACTGAATGTAAATTTGTTTTCAACCACAATGAGATGGATCAACAGAAGCTTTGTAACACCAGTCAATGACAACGGGCTCAAACTTGCTGCCTTTCATTTCCAGTGCGGTTTAGTACAATTCTTTCATTGTAGATTTGTGTGTTTTGAATAAGTTCCCTTGAGACCAGGAAAAGAGTTGTAGACTCTCAGATTCTGCTGCCCACTGATAAAGCTCTCTCTTGGTGGCAAGAGGAATGTTGTGGTTGTACATTAGCTTCATGAGCTTGATTTTTACCTTCAATTTGTCAGAAACGTGGTGGTGATGATTGGGCTTAGATATGTGAGGGATGGAAAGTTCTTGTGGTGCCAGATGGTTCAAAACTGACAGCAGATGGCGTTCTCTGCTGTTGGTGACTCTGTCATGTGTATTCTCAACAGAGGAGGGGGGGGGGGGGGGGTTCAAAAGAGGATGTTGCATTGTCAAGTTCATTATCTTCA